CCCCCCCCCCCCCCCCCACATGCCCACCTCCAATCACTTAGCGTCAACGCTGGGAGGCCGTGACTTCGAGGTCAATCATTGTTACGTCACGGTGTCCGGTGACACAAAGGCGAGTCTCTGACCGTGACGCGAGAGTGTAGGTAAAGGAGACCTTGAGGGATAAGACTGTGGGAAGGGAGACAAACCGCTCGCGATAGCGGTCGGAAGTCACAGGTGCGACAGTGGGTTACCTGAGAGGTGTGAGCTTGCGGTGAACACCCAGTTTGTCCACTCCGTAAATAATTTCATCTTATTATTTAAAAAAAAAAAAAAATAATGCAAAAAATCAAACAGTCTCGGCATATTAGAATACTAATTACTTCAAGTAAAACTAAATCAGATTTTACATACCAGCATTCATATTTTAATATGTAAAATAAAAAAAAATTCACGTCACTCAAGGGAACGGTAAGCAAAAAGTTAACCAAAGAATCAACATTAGTTAAAATAATACATATTTTGGTAAATAGTTTGAATGGCACGAGATAAATATTATATTTGTTTAACTTAATCAACACATAACTATTGTTTTTCCAGGAAGTCCAGCCATCTGGATTTTTGTACGCTTAAATTATAACGTACATGCGTTGTATCCATAAGAAATAGGGTACAAGTTTTTTTTTTTAAATTATTTTTTTAAAAGGAAGTGGAGTGAAAGGACAAAGTATCTGCCTTTTGTAATCTACGATATTAAGACGTCCCTTTTTTTTAAAAAAAAAGCCAACTATTAAACTAAGGTTGATATTTTTATGTTACCGTTGAAAAATCACTCGGTTTAAGAAAACAATAAATTTTTAATGTAAGGATACCTGACGTCATCTCAATTTTCCATTGAATGATGCACCTATTTTTTTTCCCTCCCATGCAAGTCCTCGCTATTTTAAAATGGGCAACGATCCGTGAGTTAACACCGCACTCACTACGCAACGCATCAATAATTGAGTTTACTCTTAATGACCCGACTATCGCTGGTTACACACACTGCCCCGTGGTCATAATCATAAACCCCACAAACAAGGAGTTGACCGGCGTTACCCACCCGACAACGACACACACACCAAGCTGTCCAGGTCGGACCTAGCGGCTGGCAAATCTCGTGGTCATTGACACGCAACCCTCGACACTTTACACACCGTGTTTCTTAAATAAGAAGAAGGGGAGGGGACAAAAAAAAAATTGCACGATTTTAATGTTAAAACAGGGTTGTCGCTCATCTAGGTTTATTATCGATGGCCACCTCCGACCAGATGTGACGTGCTATCTGTGAAGAGCCAAAGGTGTAATTAGGTCAAAGTGAACGATCAAAATTGGTAAAGCAAAAAAAAAAAAAAAAAAAAAAAAGAGAAGGAAAAATAAAAAAAAAGAAGAAATGTGAAAAAAAAAAAAAAAAAAAAAAAAAAAAAAAAAAAAAAAAAAAAATAAAAAAAAAAAAAAAATGAGTTGGAAAAATTAAAAGATAGAAGTAATGTGAAAGAAATAGGATTGATGGCGCATTTTTAATAGGAGGAAATGTGCACTTGTTCAAAATAAATAGAGACACCCGCTGGGATAGACACCAACTGGATAACAGTCCAACCACAGCAGCTGTACATCTTTCTAGCACCTGTATCAGTTAATACTGACGATATATTCATCTGCGTGGATTCCAACAGTTGGTTCTGGTAAGGTTTTCAATTATATATACAAACCAATAAAGATGACATTTTATGTATACATTTGCATGTCCCTTTGCTGTATTATACTGTATATATATATATCGTATAAATATATATATATAAACTCATCACAATTCCGTATTTTAAAAAGTGTATTTGCAATGATATTTACGTTTCTTACATCATTACACGTTTTGAGAAGCATTTATCTGCCATATATTATACGACTTCCCTACCCATTTTCGCGTTCCTAAACTACAATTATTGTTGGCTATAAACATGACCTTAAATTACCAAATAATCTAAATGATCACTATTTAAATCATTATTGTCAGTAAAGGAGTTCATTTACTGGTGATTTTTACGCTATAGAAATACTTCAGATGTCATGTGTTTTAAATTGTTTATTGTTGAGCATGCAATACCACTTTTTTGTGTCCCTAAGCGAAAATAAATTTATTTAAATTTGCGAAAACTTAATCTTAAATTTACAACAAAAACTCTATATACCTTCTTAAATATATTTTATACTAACATAATTTGATATACTGATAGGCTCATTAAAATTTAACCAAACGTTTGCCATTGTATTCGACTATATTATCAGAAATTCGTAAAACAAAAATAATTCTTTTATGTAAAGGAGAATCTCTTAACCGTTTTTTCACGCCGGCAACAGCCTTGAGTGTCTTTTTAGCAGAAGTGTTATTAATCAAGTAACAATATAAACCCACTTTACTGTTCGCAAATTAAATAAAAAATGTATGTTCATTTTTTTAAAAGAAAATCTTAACCCATCTCTATTTTGAAAACTAACGACATCATCGGAAAAAATGTACACACCTTATTTCCAACCCCCGATATGTATGTACCTAAGACGATTAATTATTTATCTAATTCATTCTGAGGCGTTTAAATTTAATAAAAGTGTATTTTTGGAATGAATAAGAAGTAAAAAATTCTTAAATTAAAAAAAAAAAAAACAAAGCTAAACTTGTGTATGTTTTATTAACAATTTAAAAATCAATCAATTATATTTATTAATTTTACTTTTAAGAAGGGGAAAAAACTTTAGTGGTTGTTCGCAAATTACGTCACGCTCGTGGAAAAAAAAGGGGGGGGGAAGGGTGGAAGGGTCAAGAATTTGTGACACTTTGTGAAAAAATTTTATTCAAATAATTTTAAAAACATTTATTTAAGGGTCGAGATTTCCTCAGGTATTTTAGGTAACGTGAACCTCAGTCGCGCACACCTTTGGCGCAAAAACTGTTGTGACAATTTTACATTCGGTGCGGGGACGACACTTCGTTGTTTCGCATCACAGATTTCTAATGAATCAGCAATACTACATCTTAATTCATTATGGGAAAATGTTAATTAAATAAAATAAAGTCTTAGTTTAGTTATGAAAGTTTTAAGTATGTTTATATTTTTTAGGTGTGACGGGACACTAAAAAAAAAGGGGGGGGGGGGAGGTTAAAGAATTTGTGACACTTTGTGACAGGAGCGAGGGAGGGTCTAAAAAGGTCATTTTTGCCGTGACGTAATTTGCGAACGAATCTTTTAATTATCAGTTCTGTCACGCGCGGTCATTAAATCAAAGAAACTTAAAGCTTTGGCTAAAATAGGAAATCTTGGCTATGATGTCATTTTCGTATTTATTTAGATCAAATTAATTTTATTTTTATTTCGCAATATTAACAACGTACTAAAAATAACAGATGTTTGGGTTTTCCCAATAAATGTGATTACAATGCAATTCTTTGATCATGTAATTTTTTTTTCATAACTTTTAAATTCGGATAAGATGCTTAAAATAGTTCCTTAGTTGTTACTTTAAATGTATTTGTAATTTGTAATAATAATAATACTTAAACTTTTACTAAAATAAAAGGGGATATATAATATTTTTGCGCATTTAAATTTATTCGATTTCCATAAAATAATAGAAGAATAACTATAATTGTTTTTAAGAATTGGAACTTATTTAAATCTTTTCGTTTCTTTGGCGTTACGGTCAGCCTAGCTCATTCTTACATACAAATTATATATATATATGTATATATGTGATATAAACTTATTTTTTTCACCTTATAAAATATACTTGGGGCACACACAAACTACATTAAATTTAAAAGACAAAAACCGCGAGTTAATGCTTTGGTGGAAATCCGTATATTGGACGTTCCTTAAATAAAAGTTTGTTGATTAGATACTAACTTAGTGATAGCAGGCAGGAGGACTTGCAGGGGAGATCTGCGCTAATAATAAATGTTCATAGAGAAATATTTACCAAATATTGGTATCACAAGCATCTACGCGATGCCATCACGTGTGGATTTACCACGCGATCGATGTTAATCTATAGTTAATATATTAACGTGTTTGGGAGAGAGAAAAGAGAATCAGAAAGAGAGAGAGAGAAGGGAATCAGAAAGAGAGAGAAAGGAATCAGAAAGAGAGGAGGGGAACGAGAGAATGGATAGCGAGAGGGAGGGATTAAGAAAACACAAGTGAGAAGTAAAAAAAAAAAAAAAAAGAAAAAACCAACCAAAAAAAAAAAAAAAAAAAAAAGAAACAACCAAACCAACAAAAAAAAATGGTATCAAATCCAACAAGAACACCCGCAAAATTTTTTTTACAAATCTTGTTAATAACTTCCCCCCCCCCCACTGTTACGTAAAGGAATCAGGAGAGGATTCACGTGAAGTTCACCAAAGTTTAAAACACGGAATCGCTCATCACAAATGTGTTCTCTCTTCACTATGAGTCTTAACTTTTATTTACACACAACCCCCATTTTTTTTGTCTTCTTCTTTGTATTGGACACACTATTTAGAAAACTATTAAACTTGAGTGCGTTGCTGTTCGTTAGAAAATGGACTTAACTCCGTTTAGTCACTTTGGACGTCAAGAAAATGGATGGTAGACGTCGCCTTTTTAAAAATGGTTCTTTTGACGCCGAATATTTGAAAATAATCTCAATTATGATAAAAAATTTTCCATGTTTCATAAAAGTCATAATCTCATTGTATTAATTACCGGTAATGAAAAGCTTCAAAAGAAGTCAAACAAAATTTGGGCCGTAAATCAGATTAAATTCTATTTATTTTTCCCATTCGAGCCTTCAACACGCCTTTTAAGTTATTTTATGTTCTCCTCTTAAGAATAGAAAGTTGTACGTTGTTATTATTATAGAACTGAGATTTGAGTTAAATTTTAAAGTCGATTCCAGGTGTAACCATTTCCACATTAACATCTAACTTTAAGCTGGATTTATTTAATATAATTTCAAAATAATGACCTTAATTATGAACGTCATTTCATCGAGTAGGAGCAACCAGAGGTGTAACATTTGCAGAGGTTAGCAGCTTTTTGGCCAACTTTTACTGTCGTAAAAAATATCAGAAAAGCAATATCTGTACGGCGTATGCCCCTTCCCCCGCGCCATCCCCCCCCCTTTTCACGGCCTGGGGTGTTGTGTTACGTCACGTTGACCCATACTAGGGAGACTTTTTTCAATTGCACATTTTGTCAACCTTCACTGCAATGACACTCAGACATGAAATTGCATGTACTGCAGCAATTCTAATACATAAAGAGAGTGATGGGCAGATACAGTGCCGCGGCAAGAAAAAGCTGCGCCCAGGGCAAGAACCTGAATATTAGACGCCCTCTTCCCAAAGGAGGTCTTTATTTAATAAAAATGATTTACAGGGTGGGGGGGGGAGTGACGATTTTGACGCCGTGTGAAGATTGGACCCCGTGTGGGTGCCAACTTTACCCCGACCACGACACCCCCCTCTCGCACGGCCCTGGGCAGAACCGTTGGTATCATCCTTATCCAATCAATCCTTATTTGTACCTCCCACGTCACAGCTACAACTAAATGAACTGAAATGAACAACACTCGTCGACTCAAGACTAGACATGACTCAAAATGTATCTCAGAAAATGACAAGCCCTGTTAAACTCTTATGCATTGTGAAGGATTTTTTTTAAAAAATGGGTTTAGTGTGCTCATCTTTATTTTGAAATCCCTTCTAGATAAATGTTATTTAAAATAGGGAATTGATTGAGATGAGAAATTGGTTTTTGTAGACGCCTTACAGGAACCCCACTTGATATTTGAATAGTTCCAAAGGTTGGAACCTGTAACATATGTCTGGGGTTCAGCAGAGCGGTGATAAACTGCGCCCATTTGAACTTCCCACCACACAATCTAATTTTGAGGCATGGCAATAATTATGAAAAAAAACACGTCCTATTAGATTAACTATTTGTTTCTTTTATAGGAGAATTCCATGGACAATATTGGCAGCCATCCAAGACAGCTGTTTGATGACAAGTCCTACTTTGGCTGGTCAGATGAGATTTTGCCCCATCTGACCAGTCCAGATGTAGCTACGGAATACTTACCCGAGCCTCCAACATTCATTCAGAATAGGCTGCCTTCTGGGAAGAAAAATATTTGGTGAACTTGCCCGTTTGTTGCTTTTTTAGTCTCTTTCTCTCTACTCTCTACTCTCTACTCTCTACTCACACACTCTCTCTCTCTCTCTCTCTCTCTCTCTCTCTCTCTCTCTCTCTCCCTCTTTAACTCTCACAAGGCACAACGTTTCCTTTCGCCATCCCCCATCTTTCTCTCTCTCGCTCTCTCTTTAATCAGAATAGGCTGCCTTCTGGGAAGAAAAATATTTGGTGTGCTTGCCCGTTTGTTGCTTTTTTAGTCTCTCTCTCTCTACTCTCTCCTCTCTCCTCTCTACTCACACTCTCTCTCTCTCTCTCTCTCTCTCTCTCTCTCTCTCTCTCTCTCCCTCTTTAACTCTCACAAGGCACAACGTTTCCTTTCGCCATCCCCCATCTTTCTCTCTCTCGCTCTCTCTTTAACTATCAAAGGCTACAACGTTTCCTTTCATCCCAACTTTCTCTTTCTCTCTTCTCTCATTCTCTCTATCTAGATATCTCTCTCTTTTAATTCTCACAGAGCACACATTTTCCTTTCGTCTTCCATCTTCCTCTCTATCTTTTTTTCTCGTTCTCTTTAAATCTCACATGGAAAAAACCTTTCCTTTCATCCCCATCTCTCTCGCTTGCTCTTTCGCTCTCACACCCTTTCTCGCTCTTTCTAACGCGCGCTCTCTCTCTCTCTAACCGAAATACTAGTTAGAAGGTATTAAAACTGATAGATATAAGCAAGGAAGTCAATGTACACAACTGGACACAGGTCTAGTAAAAAAAAAAAATACCGTACATGAGTTAACGCCATTCATCTGTACACAGTGGCTGTGTCAAGAAGAAACACAAGGACGTCACAGTTTACTTGTTAGAGGCGGATCTGTGGAAAAGGTTCAATCGACTGGGCACCGAGATGATCATAACGAAAAAAGGAAGGCAAGTGTAGGGGGGGGTCTGGGGGAGTGGTGGCTGGTGGAGTGGTGAGTCGTGGAATAATGGAGTGGTGGCTTGTTGAATTGTGGCTGGTGGAGTGGTGGCTGGTGGAGTGGTGGCTGGTGGAGTGGTGGCTGGTGGAATAATGGAGTGGTGGCTTGTTGAATTGTGGCTGGTGGAGTGGTGGCTGGTGGAGTGGTGGCTGGTGGAATAATGTAGTGGTGGCTTGTTGAATTGTGGCTGGTGGAGTGGTGGTCGGTAGAGTGGTGGCTGGTGGAGTGGTGGCCGGTGGAGGGGTGGCCGGTGGTGCAGTGACTGTTGGAGTGGTGGTTGGTGGAGTGGGGGAGTGGTGGAGTGGTGGCTGATGAAATGGGTGCTGATAGAGGGATTGTTGATGGAGCAATGGCTGAAAGATGAATGAGATTTAGATGTGAAGCAGTCACATTTCAGTAATGCTGTTTGTTAGAAGTTTTCATATCATATTTTATAAGAAANGTGGGTGGTGGAGTGGTGGCTGGTGGAGTGGTGGCTGGTGGAGTGGTGGCTGGTGGGATAATGGAGTGGTGGCTTGTTGAATTGTGGCTGGTGGAGTGGTGGCTGGTGGAGTGGTGGCTGGTGGAATAATGTAGTGGTGGCTTGTTGAATTGTGGCTGGTGGAGTGGTGGTCGGTAGAGTGGTGGCTGGTGGAGTGGTGGCCGGTGGAGGGGTGGCCGGTGGTGCAGTGACTGTTGGAGTGGTGGTTGGTGGAGTGGGGGAGTGGTGGAGTGGTGGCTGATGAAATGGGTGCTGATAGAGGGATTGTTGATGGAGCAATGGCTGAAAGATGAATGAGATTTAGATGTGAAGCAGTCACATTTCAGTAATGCTGTTTGTTAGAAGTTTTCATATCATATTTTATAAGAAACAAATGCTATTAATAGATTCAATAATTCGACACTTGCACGTGTTTAAAAGTATTGTTTTATTCCACAGACGAGTGTTTCCTATACCCTCATATGCTTTATGTGACCTTGACCCCGAGAAGCTGTATAACGTGACCCTGGAGATCATTTCAGTGGATAATGCGGTAATTGGGGGATTCGTATTTTTTAAAGATTATTATTATGTAAATCTTAATATATATTTATCATTAAACGGTATATTACTCTTGTGTTCCTGTAAACTAGGGGGAGACAAGCAACAATAGAAAAATGAATGGTTACTCTGCTCTTTGAAATAGATTTGCTTTTTAAGCTTACCGAATCGGGAGAAAAGTTTCATATTGTCATAGATTTACAATCTCAAGTAATTGTTTACTTGTCTTTGTTTATTATATAAATATTTATCATAAACCAAGACGTAATTGTAAATATATCGCTGACTCTGTTGTGAAAAGGGGGAAACATGTTCAGAAAATGGCACCATCATCATCAGTGGCTCTACAGCCCATGTAAGGCCCTGGCCTGCTCCATCACAATAGATTCCATACGGATCGATCCATAGCCTTCCGTTCAGAAAATGGCTTTATGTACAAGATGTCACTCTGATTTCACCATCATGTTTTCAAAACGGCAATTTTTAAATACATATTTTATGAAATACATTTTTTTTTTTATTTCGCTCAGATTCACAAATTCATCAACGGGGAATGGATGTCATCGAAGGAGGGCGTGCACTATTATCCGACACCCACGCCGGGGAGGAGCACGTACTTGCACCCTTTCTCCCCCAACACTGGTGCGCACTGGACGAGGGAAGCTGTCGTGTTTTCGGGGCTGAAGATCTCCAACAATCTTGACGCCCTTGGCACGGTATGAGACCCCTTTGTCGTCTGCTCTGTATCGGTTTATGTAAATGGAATGAAGATAAACTATCAAATACAAAGTTTTTTAACAACGGAAAAGGACAGAACTTTAAATAAAATAGTTTATTGAACATGATATTTTCTGAAAATATGAACAATCGTAAAGATACCTTTTGCCTCATTAAAAAAAAAATAAAAGAAATAATGGTTCTAAAATTTCTACCAGATTGTACTCCAGTCCATGAGGAAGTACCAGATGAACCTGGTCATAGCAGAACTCGGGGGTCACATGGAAGTCCGCATCCCCCAGCCTGAGACCCAGTTTGTGGCCGTCACCCAGTACCAGAACGACCAGGTCACACAGATGAAGATCGAGCACAACCCTTTCGCCAACGGTTTCCGATTCGCCTCCAATAAAAAGTGAGAAAACGCAAGCAGCGCATTAGTCACGTGTTAGTCACGTGTTGTTATCAAATAAACAACAACAACCACCGAAGGCCAAGATTTGAACTAGTTTTAAAAGTGAAGTCGATGCATTCAGTTTAAGCCCATTTGATGAATTCCTGAATGGTGAGCATGTGAATGTGTCCCATGAAAGGGCACGCTGAAGAAAAGCGGCACCCGTGGTGAGGCTGAAATTGCTGCCCCTATATATATATATATATATATATATATATATATATATATATATATATATATGTGTTATCACATAGATGTTCATATATAAAGACGTTTGTCTCCCCCCCAGAGCATGTGAATGTGTCCCATGAAAGGGCACGCTGAAGAAAAGCGGCACCCGTGGTGAGGCTGAAATTGCTGCCCCTATATATATATATATATATATATATATATATATATATATATATATATGTGTTATCACCTAGAAGTTCATATATAAAGACGATTGTCTCCCCCCCCCCAACCCATGTTAGCAACCAGGGTGAGTTCACCCTCACCCCCAATATTTCGCACGGCCCTGGTCCCATGATCATGTCTATGTCCGAGTGTGAAATAGAGAAGATTGAGGTGAAATTTTTTCAAAGCGTCCTGACGTAGATGAACTCCCCAAACCCTCTTTAAAAAAAAATCTCCTCACCTTATCTTAAACTGATACTTGTAAATACTGTCTCCATTTTGATGCGTCAGTTAAAATGTAACTGTAGGGCCACTAAAATGTATGTTCACCTATTTCCGCAGAGACAAGTCCAAGCGACAGTCTTCACATTCTCAAGACACAGGTACAAATTTAAATAATCGTTTTCAATTATGGCTTTGTGCATTAAATGTCACTGTCATTAAAAAAAAACATCAACTTTTTCTATAAATTATAGATTATATTTCAAATTTTATATAAGTTTAGATAACACATGATTGTTGTTTTTCTGGCTTAAAAATCCTGGTTGCCATGTAGGATTGATAGAAATCGCTCAAAGATATCAGTCACAGAAATAACCCAATGATTTCACTGAAAGTTATCAGTCTTAGAAGTAACCCAATAATATTAATCATTGATATTAGTCATAGATATCAGTCATAGAAATACCCAATTAGATCGCTCAAAGATATCAGTAAACAGTTATGCAAATAACCCAATGATCTTACTCAACGATATCAGTCATAGAAATATCCAATGATCTCACTGAAAGATGGGAGGCATAGAAATAACCCAATGACATCGCTCGTAAATAAAAACAAACTTATAATTGTTTCTTTATTGAATTTTCAGAGACAGAAAGTGACAGTGGGCCCAGAGTGGTCAACCCGTCTCCCCAGCGTTCTCCCAGCGTCCAGTCTCCCAATAAACCAAAACCTGATGCCAACTTTAGAAACACCCCACGCATGGGCGGCCCCCAAGACAAACACCCGGCCATAAACGCTCAACGCGACTTAAATTACCCGGATTACCTCAAACCTGAAACTTACGACACCTATGGGACATCCCATTACCCCCATGGGTACACCGTCCCCGACAGGAGCCACAAGAAATGGCTGCATCACCTTATCACAAACACGGCCCCCCAGACAGGTCCGCTCTACATCCCCTACAACGACAGGGTGGACCTGACCAACTCACTGAACATGGCCAGCTACATGTGTCAGCGAATGGGAGGAAACCCCTTGGCTCAGGTCAGGCACCTGGGGCAGATGAACACGGGGAAGGAACTCTCGCCACTGTCTCTGGTCAAGAAAAGGAAGTTGAAGGAAGACGCCACCGGTTGTTTCCCTGTCAACGACGCCAGATATCCCAGTTATGAGGGGAAAGATGATGTTGATGTGGTTAGGATCAGGGATGACGTCTGCTTGGCGGCTAGAGAGCCGGACTTTGAACCCGTTATAAAGGGTCTTGTAGACCCAGGAATGAAGCAGGAGAAAATATCAGATAACCCCAATGTTGACCTGCCTGGACATTCAGCAGGGGCTTCAGAATCCGAACAGCCTAATGATCTGACCCCCAGGATCAAACTGGTAAATATAAATCATTGTTTTAAAAAGTGCGGATAATTACAGCTTTTGGGGATAACAATGCATTCAAAAGATGCTAGAATTTTTTATTTTTGATTTAATTTTTTTATTTTTTAAAATAAAATAAATATTAAAAGGGAGGTATCTAATGGTTTCTTATTTTCTCTCCGCTCTTTAGGATGAGTTAACGGACCTGCATAAAAAAAACTGTGCCACTGAACAGAACACCACACCTTGTGTGAAACCAGAAGTCATCCTTAAAAATAGTGAGCTCTGGGCCACCACGCACGAGGTGGTGGTCAGTTCCGAGGGCAGGTAACGATCATTTTTAATATGAATAAGTTAACCCCAAAAAACAAAAACAAAATGACCACAGCCAGTAAGAACAATACTTATTCAAAGCATTAAAAGTCAGCTAAAAAGAAAACGATTAAAATAGGTTAATAAAATGCACGGCAATACCAGGGCATGTATGTAATAGTTTACTGCATCATTAAAGTTGTTCTTTGTCTCAAACGTTTTTTTCCACCCCCCAGACCAATGTTTCCATTTATAAACTTGTCCATCTCCAACCTGGATCATAAGCGGTCTTACTACATCAGCCTGGAGCTGACCCCGGCCTCGTCGTGGCTCTACGATTACACTGACCACGAGTGGACGCCAAGTCTGGAGACCACCAATGAGCACAGGGTCACGCCGTACCAGCACCCGGACAACCCCAGGAGTGGACGGGAGTGGGAGTCGGGCGTGGTGTTCGACAGACTCCGCCTGAGCACGTCCAGGCAAGGCAAAAACATGGTCAGTGTCCTAGATCGGATAACTATTTGAACATAATTTCATATGTTAAAATGTGGCCGTGATTGCCAAAGGTCTTGTTACTCCATACTTGAATGACTTGAATGTTTCCTGATATAAACTTGTCCATTTCCACCCTGGAACAAAGGCGGTCTTACCATATATATTTTTGACGCCCTTCAATTTAAATAAAATACTAAAAACGCAATAATGTATAATTATATGTTAATAAACCTTAAGCATTAAAACAAAAATATATCGTTTTCAAGAGTGTTAACTCTGGTCTAGTACATAGAAGGAATGTCTGGGGTTTTAATTCTAGGGCGTTGAAGAAATGTCGTGTTTTTTAAGATGTCAGAAGATGAAAGAAATGTTTTTGTTGTAGTTTCAAAATATCTAAATATATATATATATATATATATATATATATATATATATATTTAAAAACATTAAAAATACTTAAATTATTTAAATGATTCATTTGACACATAAAAATATTTTCTAACATAGAAGGAATGTCTGGGGTTTTAATTCTAGGGCGTTGAAGAAATGTCGTGTTTTTTAAGATGTCAGAAGATAAAAGAAATGTTTTTGTTGTAGTTTCAAAATATATAAATATATATATATATATATATATATATATATATATATATATTTAAAAACATTAAAAATACTTAAATTATTTAAATGATTCATTTGACACATGAAAATATTTTCTACCACTTTGACAAGAATCTCATTGTTTGCTGTTTATACCAAAACAAATTCACAAAGAAATATGTCGTTTAAATTAAATGACACATAATACAAATCATAAGTTCACATTTCAAAGTTATTACCATTTTTGCCATTTTTTTCACGAAAGTTAATGATAAGGATTATTTTAAAACATACAGATATAAGATAATATGGAAGATAGATGAATATTGTGCGGGTCATGTCTTTTATAGGTCAAAGTCCAACTCAGACGCCAGTATTTCCCGGAAGTGACGATACGAACGGGGGTTCAAACCTGGAGGTATCCCTTGAAGGACGCCATGTTTATTACTGTCAGCATAGACAGGTGAGTGCCCAACATTAAACATTACATGGTAGCATGCCCGTGTGTTCGTGACATGGGATTTAGAATAGTCTTCCCTTTCCGAAAGCATGTTAACATATAAAAAATAATAAAAGACACACGAAAGATCTTTGGTTGTTAAGGAATATCTGCACACTCACGGTGACCCGGATGTAACCCAATGTTCAGGTCTCCCTTGCTTGATCCATTGAGCTGTCCTCATGTCTTGTTTTGTCTCCTGTTTATTTTCAGATCACAGTTCCTACAGCCGAGAACGTCCGAGCTGACCAGCAGTAAGGCTGTGGATAGCCCAAGGTAAAACAAGATGAGTCATCTTAATCGTGGCCCCGGGGGGGGGGGGGGTTAGAGAGGTATACCATGCACTCAGCTGTATTGTCATAATAAAAACCCAAGGGTTTTAATTTTGCAAAACATTCACAAATTTAGCATCATTGAAGATGGGGGAAAAAAAAGAAAATAAGAATAAAAAACATACGATTTAAAAAAAAAAATCATTAAAAATAATAGAAAATGCCATCTTCTCAAAGTCGTACGTCATGAAAAAAACCAACATGATGGTAAATGCAATAAATGTAATGGTAAAATTAATCACGTAGATATTAAAATATTACCCACAATTTATCGATCGAGAAATAGTCTGATGTATTACATTTATAATCCAAAGCGATGACAAGAACATGAAGAAAAACCTTAGCATTTATCAGTGGTTTAGATTTGCAGTGAGCTTAAATAACGTTGAAATAACGTTTTATTTTTGTGTGTGTGGGTTTGCGGACTTCGCTAAAAATATATATATATTCTTGATCTTATTTTATTTGATTTCAGGTCAGATAGTGAAAACCTGAACCGGTCCTCTCAAAGGAAACAGACAAGTGAGTAATGCACAGCAATGTCTTTCGGTGTTAAGTCATATTCAAGGCAATTTTAGGTGTAGGCAAAAACACAGTTGGTCGGTGAATAGGAATCCTATCTGAACCATCGGACAAGTGTGATTGTGAATAAAAACTATTCCAATAATTCTTATTATTTTTTAAATAAAATTTAAATGCGTACTGTTATTAAAAGAAAGAAAAAATGTATTTGAATAAAGTTAAGATATTCATCGAAGCCTGGAACTGAGCGTCATTCTTGCCATGTTTTTAAACAGATCCCAAAAAGATGTGTACAGACGTCTCTAGAGCAGGGTTAATTCAACCTGCTCCATCAGCGCCCGGTACAGACTGGGTGACGCCGTGTTCGGAGCAAGGGAGGCAACACGTCATGGCAAGAACGTTAACGGAAGGTATGCAGTTAACGGCCCACGACGAAGGTCTCCTAGACATGGAGGTCGATGCTTCCCGACAATTTCCACGCAAAGAAACATGGAAGCAAAGTACCAGTGGAGACGACAGAGGAAGTGACGCCACGAATGTTAGAACAGACGCGTTCACTGCTACCCACGGGGCAGCTCTCAGCCAAGAAAGCCCTAGCAGTATTCCGTCTGCCCAACAAAACAATATTTCTTTAGGTGGTAGTGTGGGTGAGCAGCACCAAGAAGATACCATCCATGCAGTCATAAATCCGGAGCATTTACGCTCACCAGTTAAAGAACATTTATTCAATTCAACAGACGCAGACATGTGTAGATAATTTGAACCCTGGCATAAACACCAAAGATAAGAGACGATAGAAAATGTGCAGCATAAACTATTGACATGAACCGACTACGACCATTGAACGCAATGTGCCAAATATCTATAACTATTAACCAGTTTATAATGGTCACCAAATAAACTCTCTTGAAATCTTTGGCTATCTATGACTTTATTAGGGTTGCTATTAGTAACCCAAGAATGGAATGCTTTAAATCAGGCCTGCACGGCTCAAAAGGTAAGGCGGGCCGTAACACTTTATGAAAAAATTATTCGGGCCGAAAGAAAAAGAGTACATGGGGGAAAGCTGTTAAGAAAATTATAATAAGAAGAATAACATTTCGTTACTTCGCGGCCAGCAAAGTGGGGGCTGGCCTGTTTTAGAGTTTAGACCAGAGTCAATGAAACATACTTTAGCCATTACCCCAAAATGTATTTTTTTTTGTACCCTGAAGTTATCCCCGATTTAAAAGGAAGAATAAATCTTTTACTATTAAAATTCAAAATGGGTTTATTGAGCCTATTATAGGTACACTACACTTATAAAATTAAACAATACAAACTCAGTTCAAAAAGATAAATTATCAAAATACGGATGATGGAACAAAATGATTTCTTTGAAAAAAAATGTTCCTTCAAATTTTGTAGAAATGATTTGTCATTTTGATGCAATGACGTCATCAAAGTTGAGGCTTTTTTTTTTTAAATCGGAGAAATCTGGAAGCTGTCTTTGGGCTTCAATAATTGATTTCTTTAATGCTTTGTTTTTATGTTCACTTGCGTGAAAAATATTAGTTCGCAAAGGTAGATAGTTGCAAAAGGCAGCAACTTTTTTTTTTACTGCCCCCCTCCTCCACATTGGCAATTTTTAAAACTTATCTTGACTTTCGAGTATAAGCAACGGCCTCACGAGGAGTGTGGAGTGCGGACCCCACCCGGACCATCCTCACCGGGCTTAGACATCCTTAAATGGGTTAGTGACCCTCACATTCATGGAATGACAACAAATGAAAATGAGTAAATAGGACAGAGCTGGATCACGTGTGACACAACTAAGTTTAATACAAGAGCAGCGTGCCACCCGTCACCAGAGTGGGTTGCCAAAACAGCAAGGTGAACAAATTGTAGTGACGCCACTGACCATTTTTTTTTACATTTTCGTCTTTCGCACGTGAAGATGACGAAGGGAATCGTCAACTTGAGAACCGGTAGCAGCCTTGACTTGAGCTGTAATTTGTTTAAAGTGAGGGAGGGTTGCTCAATTCGTCAGCCTCACTCTCTCTCTCGTCTTTGCCTGTTTCATCCAATGGCAAGACCTAGTCAAGACGGCTGGAAATAGACCATGGCGATGCAGTAGATGACAAGCAGTGTGTCCTGTGTGTTTCACCGTGTTCTTTATGCGTTTTACGTCACAGGAGTTGTCGGAACATTCATCGTGTCGATGTCATAGCAACCACGGGATTCCATCTCCGGGTTGTGTTTCATAGCTTGCCATCTCTTAGATGAGTCGCCATCACGTTCACTGAGTTCGACCACCCGGTCACCCAGCTACTAAGATAATGTTGGCGAGTAGGCAAAAATGACCATTACGGGACGAGGCGAGACGTGAGCTCTGGCTGCCGAGTAAACATAAGTTATTCGGTGCGTTTGGCTGTTGCAGAGGCCAGATGCAGTACTGCCAGAAGAAAAACAAAATCTTTTTTTTTTTAACACGCTTTGATTTTAATTTTAATTTATTTCCATTGAACCCTTATTATATCACCCGAAGATTTCAATTTTACCTCATTTTGGATAATTTTACTCCCATTCGCTGACCACTGGTTTAAACAAAAAACTGCAGACAGAACGTTTGTAAAAAAATAAATGCCGATGTTTACGGTATACAGAGGTGTAGTAAATACGCGATTGACTACACAATATTTAAAAAATAGTTTGCCTATGTTTTTATTCAGAGTCTGAAACAGTTTTAATTTCTCTGTAATTAAACTTGCGTCGTTATCTCATGAGAATTTGAGATAAGATTAAGCGGACTACAGTTACAAAGTTACGATGGCTGAGCCATAACGATTTAAGAGGCGAGACTAGGCTTAGGCAAAAAATCTTGTGCCCTCAAAGGTTTCCTAACTGGGACTTACCGGTATTTAGTTTATCGAGGGCTGGGACGGAGGTAGAGAAGACCGTGATCATTATTATGGCGAACTTTGGCGCTTTCCACACGAACGTCTGAATTGCCCCACATCTCCTAACTGCCTGAAAGCAAAATAGAATTCAAGTACGTGCCAAAGGCATGCCTGCTTTTAGAAATTCTTGAAATGTTCTGATCGAGATTTTTTGGCATCATCGATTTCTGTCCTCTCTTCCCTCATGCCGATCATTGTGACAGTACTGGGTTGAATCTGAGCTTGTGACAAATGATAACACTGAGGCGCGCCACAACCGGGGTGAATACATTCTATGTATGACACTGCAATGGGCGCCGTAACACCTTCCTGGACGCTTAAAAAGTTCCTTTCAAAGATAAAATATAGTATGATAAAGTATAAAGACACTGAATTCAGGTACATGTATGCTCTAAAATGCACCTCAGGATTTTTAAATAATCATAAAAAATTTTGGGGCAAGGATTCCCAGACACCACCACCCCCTCCCCCACCTCCTTTTTGCCATTAAAGAGCCATCGCCGTCTTCTTCACCATAAAAATGAAAGAACCCCTAAAAACAAAGTTTTCCGTATAAATCCTTGATGAAATGACGTAATATTCAGCAATGGGGGGCGGAGCTTAAAATTTGACAAAAAGTGCTAACAAAAAATCCACTTTAAAATAAGAATCCCAATTAGACCCCCCCCCCCCCCACACCCTCTCCGGCTTTTTAACCGCACATTTTTTTCACGCCCCTGAACTATATTAATTCTATTGACCCACTCGCTTTTACAATGCAGATATATTTCATCAAGCATATCAGAAAAAGAAAAGAAACTGTTACGCAGCAAACGCAGTTGTAATATATATATATTTTTAAAAAAGAATCTCATTTAGCGCAGTTATCGGGAATTTTCCTTCACGTTCCCATTGGTAAAAAAAAAAAGGACAAATTAATCTTTGTGGTTTGGGGCTGAAAATTTGAACGAATGAGTTGTCATTGGCAACGAGTCTTCGTGCTTAGTTTCAGTTTAATATGTTGATGAGATGTGGGTTATTTAGCGTCCGAAGATTTTTGCCAGGCAGCCACCCACGAACAAAAGTGAACTTAATAATAAGGGATTTAAGGACAGCACAGCGGGCAGTGATCGCCAATTTTAGTGGCGTAGTTAGTGTTATTGTCACCCCTGAGAAGGCCAAGATTGTTACTGCACTTCCTTTCACGATACAAACTATTCATTTGTCCCCTCTAATTAAAAAAAAACAAGAAAAAAAAGGAAAAAAAAACGTACGCCTGGTCGGACTACCCATACCCCACTTTGAACACCACTGGCAAGGACGTAGCCGCAGCCTTTTTGGCGTCAGGGGACAAGATTCATTTGTACGCCCCCTCAAACTCTAACTCTTAAACCCATTATTTTCATCCAAAAAATACCATCAAAGATCACTTTGCCACCCTTACTAGTCTGGCGCCTGGGGACATATGTCCCATATGCCCCTTTAGTGCACCTCTGGTCACTGGCACTGCTTACCCGAAAACCTAAAATGCCACCTCCCTCGTCACTTACACGAAATACATTGAAATTAACACTTTTTATGAGTGATAGAAAAATATATTTTTTAACATAATGTATACGATACAAATTATTTCTATTGTCGAGTCTGAATAATTCCCTCTAATCGGATATCGATGTGTAATTGATGTTTTAATCTGTTTAACTGTTTGTAACCGGGTAACTTAAAAGTGTCTCAGCCCGTTATGGCACTTTTAACAGCGTAGAGAATCGTAGAGCTACGGGGTGTCTCTGTGGATGTTGTGCTCAAAGTGACACTAAACAACACGAGAAATATTTACAGAATAATTGCAAGTTCAAAGGGAATTAACTTATCAAACCGCAAGATATGACCTTAAACAAGATTTCACTCCCTTGTTTCCGTTGTGGAATTTTTTTATTTTTTTTCAATTTCAATTTCCATTTTTTTTTAAAAACAATTTTTAAATACTTTTTTTTAAAGACGACGAAATTATTTTAACTTCAGCCATTTAAATACATTTTAATTAACCATTTTAAAACCTTTTTTTTTATTAAAGTCAAATTCAATCATCCCTTTTATCAAAATGTAATGTTTAGTGTGCTGTCATGATGTATAATGACTATACTTTAAATTTATTGTTGAGGTGTATATCTCATGAAGAATTCTACAAAGGCTTAGAATTTCTGAAAAGTTATTGAGCTCTTGAATCTGGACTCACGAGAAATCGAGTTCCCGGGCCTGGCCCCCTTCGTTCAGGCAACGTTGGTGTGGGGCCCGGCTCGGAGGCCAACGCGCAAACTGTTATACGGCCTCGTGACAGCCTGGCTCAGATGAGATGGGAGCATTGGGGTGGGTAAGTGTACAAAGTGTCAGCTCATTGGAGTATCAGGAAGTGGTTCTAAATTGAATTACAGGATTTGACCCTGACAGACAGACAAAATCGCAACCCAAAATAAAAGCGCATAAAAATAAAATTTTAAAAAAAAAAAAAAAAGCTCGCGTAACAGGACAGTGCAGCTTTAAAATTTTTATCTTGCACCAGAATCAAATAAGCATTGGGGTGGGAAAGTGAAGAAAGTGTCAGCTCATTGGAGTATCAGGAAGTGGTTATAAATTGAATTACAGGATTTGACCCTGACAGACAGACAAAATCGCAACCCAAAATAAAAGCGCATAAAAATAAAATTGTAAAAAAAAAAAAAAAAGCTCGCGTAACAGGACAGTGCAGCTTTAAAATTTTTATCTTGCACCAGAATCAAATAAATTAGCCCCTAAAATATTTTGAAAAAAATGCAAGTTATTGAGAACAAAATTTATTTTGTTTGATTACATCTAAATGTAAAAGTAACACGTATTTTTTATATCAAAAATAAATTATGCCCATATTTATATTTATAGAATACTAGCGAGTACCCGGCATGCGTTGCAATGCCACTCAAAGAAAGAAAGTGTTTGCATGTTAATTATGTTTCTTCAAGAGCTTTTAAATACTCAAAGTTTTTCTTGTTTTTCTATCTGGTATATACACGAATAAATCATAAGATTTTCCGACGCGAGAGCAGGCCACATACATCTGTCCATGGGCGAAGCATGGGTTTTCCA